TGATGATGATGATGATGATGGTGGTGGTGGTGATGATGATGATGATGATGATGGTGGTGGTGGTGATGATAATGATGTTGATGATGATAATGGTGGTGATGATGGTGGTGATGATGGTGGTAGTGGTGATGATGATGATGACGCTGATGATAAAGGACAGGTTCACATATGCATACACGCACGCTCGCTGTCTACGGAGCTCGCGCGCCCTGCCCCTTTTTTTTCCCTCTCTCAGTGCGCGGCGCGGGGAGCGCGTGTCAGCAGCGCGCATCCATCTACAGCAACTCCACGCTTCTCCATCTATCCTTCATCCTTCCGTGATTCTGTCGCAGGAGGGCTGAAGCATGGGGGAACATGGCACAGCGCGGTGCTGCGCCTCCTAAAGCCGAGCCGCCGAGACCTCCTGCTCTCCACTCATCCTGAGGAGCGCGGAAGCTGGGAAGATCAGCGGCGCTGCCCGGAGACAGGTGAGTGAGGCACTGGGGCTTTGATTCAGGCTCAGAGGAGAAAACAGACCAGCGAATATTTCAGCAACAGCACAGGCGCAGGAAGCAATGCTCGATCTTACAGCTGATCATATCCATCTGCAGCATGATGGAGAAAACAGTGCATAGATTTGCAGCTGATCTAGAATAACTGTGCTATAATCAGCAGCATTATCTCTGCACTTTGATTAAAATATACTCATTAATAACTGAATAAACCTTAGGAATAAACGTTAGAAAGAACTGATCATCATATGGTTTGTACCAGAATAATAAATCAGTTCCTTTATAATGCAATCAGACTAAATCTATCTATCTATTATTTCAGGAGAAAAAAAAACGCATCTTTCTTTTCTTTGCTGAATAAAATGAGTTGTTTATTACAATTATTACAAATAAGACCAAAAACCCTGGTGAATCTTTTTTTTTATTTGATTGCACTGTGTATATCAGGGTTTTTTTCTTCCCTTTGCTCTCTCTCTCTCTCTCTCTCTCTCTCTCTCTCTCTCTCTCTGCGCTTTAACAGTGTCTGATGAGGAACACAAAATGTACCATCAGCCTATAGTGTGATCTTTTAGAGACAGAGACAGGGTTTATGGAGAGATACAGAGACAGATATTGCCAGAGGGAAGGCAAAGGCGCCCCCTGGTGGTACACCACGCATGCGCACTGCTTAAGACACACACACACACACACACACACACGCAAGACATTGTCAACACAGTGTCAACTCAACAGAACACAGTGTCAACTCAAAACCAAATTTACATATCCGAGTCATGCTTTTCAGGTCCTCACTGCAACTATGACATCACTTCCGCTTTCACACCATGCCTCATAATGGAGGAGAGTACACAGAGGGTGTGATGATGTGGAGTAAAAAAATTCCCAGTGTTTAACTGATGACCTCTTATACAGTTTGATCGAGACGTCCATGCTCATCACAAATGGACACCATAACTGTGATCAATCAACACTCTTAGATGTACTTCCTGGTGTTTGCTGTGCATAGCCTAGTGTTGCTATGTATATTATTATTATTTAAATCAATATCAGTTTTTCATAATGCATGATTTTTAAGTTGCCACTGCAACCCTTTTGTCACTTCCACTTACATACGCTGTTATGTAATTCCTGCCCCCATCAGACTGAATCAAAATCACTGTAACCAAGCAAGCACTGGAGGATTTAAATATAGAAAACGCTTTACACATGGAGAGGGAGAGAGAGAGAGAGAGAGAGAGAGAGAGAGAGTGAGACGAGAGTGTAAAAGTGGAAGCGGTGACTTGAATTATTTAAGCTTCTGCATTTGGGGAAGCCTCTGTGTTATTCTTGGCCGTAAATATGCTTTATCCGTGGTTTAAAGATGCCTCTGGAGCTCAGGAGTTATGCACCAGATCCTTATGAGTCTCTATGCTAAATGCACTAACAATAATGTTTCATGTCACAGTACATTTGTTTTTAAATGTATTTACTGTATATCGTTCATTAAAAGACGAGCGTTGGCCAAGGTGCTGTACGGTAAAATCAAGAAATTCAAACAATAAATTAAAAAGTAGAATAAAATCAAGATGATATTATAAGAGATGAACCATCAGTGAGAAGACAGGACAGGATAAAACAGATGCTTAGATGTAATGTAAGGAATAAAACACTTGGTGGTGTGTTGTTCTAGGAAACTAATCAATGATGTGGTGGTGTGATGCGGTACAACATGAAGCAAAGATACTATACTATCACTAAAAAGACTATATTCCAATAACAGCACATCCTCAAGTGTTTAATACCACAAGGATTTGCTCATTTTTAATTTATTTAATGAACACCACTTGTGTTTTTTTTTATCCATTTATAGTTACAGTTGTGGAACATCCGCAAGACAAGTCAGTTCCTGTTATCACTTACATTATAGCAGCTACAAACATT